AAAAACCTAATCCATATGGATAGCGTCCTGGCTAAAATTTGGGTTTGTGACTGCTTTGGGAAGTGTACTGACAGATTAAGGCATTGGCATCTTTTGGTGCATTTCTAATGGAATTATTTGACTGTACATTTTATTGACGCAGCTTGTTAACCAAGGTTGTTAGCATTACCAGTTAACTTTGTCCACCACTTTCTCCACAAAACCAACATGGCAGAGATCTTCCACTACCTCAATTCCACTTACCTTGCCGTGTAGTGTTGCAGCACCAGCTTCTGCCCTGCGCTTGTGCATCGATGCAATCATAGTCCACTGGTTGGTGTCAGGCTCATATCGTTCTGCAGTTTTCAGTTTCTTTTGGTTTTGGCACCCGCCCATAGCATATATGCAGCCATTCAGTGTGGCCACACTGAGAAAGCCCCGCTCTTCATGCATCGACCCCACCTCTGTCCAGGTTTGGTTGGTGAGGCTGAACCTTTTTACATGACTTGAATAGCTTATGAAATCAAAACCTCCGATGCAATAGACACATCCATTGAGGTAAGCACAACTGTAGAATCCCAGATATCGTGTCCAGCTCAGCGACACCCAGTTGTCAGCTCGGACATTGTACAACTCAATCTTGACACTTGGGAAATGTCTCACCCATCCACCAACGGCCAATAAGACTTCAGACGGCAGGCGTGTTTGGGGCATAGGTCTCTCCACAATGGACTCATTTAGCATCTTCATGGCAGTGGTTACCATATCCATGCATGCCGGACTACTACTCACCACATCATTTCTGCTCACAGTGCCAACCAAATACTCAGTGGGTATTAATAGTAGGCGGACCTGGATGAAAACAAGGATCATAAGGGAAAAAGGCAAGAAATACAAAATTAGACTGTATACAAGAGTTGGATGTAGCCACCATGCCACCACCCATTAGTGAAGTATAGCACTATCCCTATAATCAAAATGTCATGGAATCACCCAGATAGCTATGGTAGCTCCTGGCATCGCCTCCAATCAGCTGTGGCATTGCCCTTAAAGACCCTAACATTACCTGTAAAGAGCCACAGCATCACCTGCCAAACAGCAATGGCAGGTCATGGCATTACCTCCAAACAAGCAGTGGTGCCACAGTCAAGTTTCAATGCTATTATCTGAGCACTGAGTAACCTCCTGCTGTAGAAACAGGTCCCACAATGAGGGTGTGTCCTGTTGTAAATGCCTAAGGTCCAGTCAGTAAGTTCTGGCAGAACACGATGGGCATAGTCAACTTTTCTGTCAGAAAAGCTAAAGTCCAGTTCAGACACATTATCAATAATGCACTTCTGAAACTACAAAACAACGGCCAGTTTTATCTGGACGCAAGTGTAAATAATACTTTTACAATTTATTAAGGACTAAATGATGAGCACCTTCTGATGCACACTCCCAAGTGAATTAGAAACACCCAACCCACCCCCCAATGTGATTAAGAATGAAGAAGAATGATTCCCCTATATTAACTCTATTACCAAGCCTTAAGTTTGAGTAATTCTGCCATTGCAATTTTAGCTTTTTACACGTCAGCCATAAAAGGCTGATGGGTAAGCAGGTGGGCGGCCTGGACACCCAACTCTGTAAACACAATAGTGTACAATCAAACTTCTTTTTTTTTCCGCATCAGGCATCAAGCTTATGTTTTATTTTTTATTCCTAATTCAAATTGCGACAGCGGAAGTTGCTTTCTATACTTTCAAACTGTACCATTCATTCAACAGCTCCTCACTGAGTAATAAACAAAATAAATGCACTTAGAGGAGCAATTAAATTGATATCCCATTTTCAGTTACCTGCTTGAGCAGTGCGGGCATGTCACACCCACGTTCCACAGGGGAATAGTTGATCCAT